ATTACTATCATCACCAACATCAGCATCAACATCGTTGTCGTCGCCGTCGTCATCTTCATCATCGTCGCCATCGTCGTCACCATCACGTCGTCCACATCATCCTCATCCTCATCCTCATCATGTTCGAGACGGGTGAGGGCGAGAGCCGGCTTTTGGAGCTCCCAGGTTACCAACTGAGCGTGGAGGAAGAGTGTCATCGATCGAGCCGTCGTGTGTTGTGATCCTTGTGGTGCCCAGTTTCCCAAGGGACGACGGTGGCTGCTCGACGAACGCAGCTAGGAGGAAGGGTGCGGCAAAGCTGCTGCCACGAGGGGCAGCCGTTGAAGGACACGTAAGGAGCGGCAAACCCCTTCCGAAAACCAAACGAGTTCCTTGTTTGAGCGTCCCGACTGCTATCGGCAACAACACCACCATGGCGGCTCGTGGTGTGGTATGCGGTATCGCTGTTCCTCGGCGTCTTGTTCGGTAGACGGCGGCGCGACCAGGGAGCGAAATGATAGGGGCAGGCCTCCTCAGAAGGCGGCGGGGCTTCGCAGAAGTCCTCCGACCTTCTGAGAGGCCCCCTGCGGCTTCGGAGAAGGCCAAGAAAGCTCCTCGGAAGGCCCGAGGCCTCCTCCTGAGCCTCCGGAGAACCCTCAGATCCCACGCGGCGAAGAGAGTACAAGATCGCGAACACATCCCGCGCGGAGCCCCGGACCGTTCTGCGCCATGTTCGAACTGGACCGACCGTGCGGGTCCCAGGGGGCCCGGAGCCGGGCGAGAGCGCCCGGCTCGAACAAAAAGTCGAGGCGCCGGGATGTCGGGGAGAGCGCGCCCCCTCTGCAACGCCTTTCTATACCAGGCGCGCTGCCGAGATACAGAACTCGGGCCTGTGTCGGCTGCACGCGAGAGTGCCAGGGGAGGCCAGGGCCACACAAAGAAGTGCACACAAGTCCCAAGATTTCCCATCTGTTTTCACGTGTTCTTGATCTTCGTCTTCCCCCCCACTTACCATAGCTTCCCATTTCCTGGAAATCGACGATGAATTCTGCCTCTGTGTGCTTTTTCCCTCCTGACGAACCTGGGTCAGCGCAAGCCCGGGTCAGCCAGGGCCACGTCGCGAACCCGGGCAGGCCGCGAAGGAGCTCCCAAACCTGGCTCGGCCAGAGGGTCTCGGAGGGACTTGGCCGACCCCGGTTGGCGCGGACCCGATCCCTGCCATGTGGACGCCCGCAATGGCTGGAAGCTCGGGAATGAGCACCAATACCACACTAAGGGGTTGCCTCCAGCCCAAATATTACCACCATTACCGAGATTGGGATCATTTTCCCTCGGTGGAGGGACACCGCCGATATTGGTGTTGGTGTCAATTTCTGGGTTTCCAAAATGGGTGCGGAAACAATGGGCATGATGCCCAACAACAACTCTTGCCGCGACGCCGACAGGGAGTCCAATTCAACATGAGAAGGAATTGCTGTCGGTCTACGTGCCCACTTATTTGGTACACGTCAGTCGGAAAAAGTGGGTCAAAACATGAAGTAGGAAGGCGTTGGAAGCACATTGGGCTTCCACCCGCCCCCCGAAGGGGAAGGAAAAGCAAAAGCCACTCGATGATCGAAGCAGGAGGGCGCCTAAAGTATATTGGAATCTGGCAATCCAGACATACCTACTTTCAACGACCGACGGGTACGGCAGGTCCATGTCGTGCCGACTTCGGCGTTGGTTCTTGACACCGCGGGGATCGTTCGACCTTGACGATCGGCCGTTCCCGAAACGTCGGATCGCTCAACACCGACCGACGCTGGGTCGCCGGCGGCTTGGAACGTTGAACGCCGGCGTCGGGGTCGCCCTCGGTCGAGACGACGAGAATCTGTGCCGCACCGGCTCTGGGCTCTCGGCGACCGCCGGGCACACACACCCCCGAACTCCACCGCCCCGAGGCCCGCCTCTGGGCGCCGCCGTCGGTGCCGCGGCCGGCGCCGCAGCCGCCGCCGGGGGCACCGCGGCCTCGGTCGGCGGGCGGCGGCCGGCCCGGGCGGCCGGCCGGGGCGGCGGCTCCCCCTGGAGCGGCGCCAGCAGGCCCTCGGAAGGCCGCTGCAGAGCTGCGCCGCGCGCAGGGGCGGAAGAGCCGCACTCCCTCGGGCCTGGGGGGACCTTTCTGGGCGCTTCGCGAAGCACGGCGTGCGCGAGGGCGGGAAGGGGGGAAAGAGGAGAGAGAGAGCCCGCCATCCTTTCGTTCCCGTCTCTGGAGGAAGAGCTCGGTGACCACCCGAACTCCTGAGCCCCGGAGGGGTCGGTGGGAGGCTTCGCTCCTGCTCTCCAGCCTGGAGGGAGGAGCAGAGCAGATCCGAGCGCGCCAGTGTCCGCTGGGGCGGCGGGGCCTGGAAGAGGCAGCCGCGGGGGCTGGCTGGGGTCCTCGCGTGTGAAAAAGTGACTGTCCACGGCCGTTGGTGCTGGGAGCTGCGAAGGCTGCAGGTCGGCAGGTGGACGTGGGGGTGGACGCGGAGGTGGAGATGGACCTGGAGGGCGGAGATCCTGGCGTCTCAATTGTTTCGAGCCGGGCGTGTTCTCCCAGGTTCGGGGCCCGGGAGCCTCACGGGTCGATCCGTCTCGAAGAGTGTGGCATAAAAAGATTGGGTATAAGGCTGCAGTCGTGACTGTTCACCATGTGCGGACTGTTCCGAGACGTCGGATCTCAGGAGAAGAGAGGGCACGGAGATGAAGGCGCTACCGGTGCGGGCATGTGTTGTCGGACCCCGAGAGGGGCTCCCGCTCGAACGGGAGCCCCCGTCAGGCAACACCAGAGGCCTCCTATATGGGGTCCGAGTAGATGGGGTCGGAGTATCGCGCTGCAGCGACAATGCATCGCCGATGTCTGGGAGATGCATCGGCGACGTCGGCGTGGAGAAACACGGGCCCCACATCGAGCTGCATCGTTGATGCATCGGCGATGCGGCGCGATCCTCCGACCCCATCTGCTCGGACCCCATGTGGGAGGCCCAGAAACACACGCCCCAATGGCCCCGACGGGACTCCACCCCGAGAAGCTTTGGGGGTACCGCACAAGTCTGGGCGCCGGTGGCCATGGCTCACGACTCCGGAGAGGGGAGGGCGCCCCCGAGCGGCACCTTCGACCTCCTCGGGCCGCCCTCGAGGCGCACCGAGCGTCCCACCCGCGGGCGCCCAGGCCCCCCCCCCCCAGCGGGCCGCCGCGACCGGCTGGGGCGGCCGTGGCCTACAGGAGACGGGCCCCCGATGCCAAACATCGCAGATGCACCGAGGGCTCGTGGAGTCGGCCAGGGCGCTGCGGGGCAGGGCGTGCCTTCGTCGCTGCTCCCTGGGCGAGACCCCGCCCAAACATCCGCCTCCCCGAGATCGCGAGGTCTTGTTTGGGCGCCTGCCGTTTCGGGGTCGGGAGGGGGTTCAGTTAGTGGCACCAAGCGGGGACGTCGGATCGGATCGGATCGGAACGTTCGTCCCCAAGCATCCAGCGCCTTGAAAACCATCATCGAAACGGAAGAGGGTTTTGTCGCCGCTCTCGGCCTCTGGGGGCCCTCGCCAGTTCCCAGGATGAAAATCCAGCGCCAGGGAAGGGCCCGGGACCTACGGGGACCCTGTAAGAATGATAAGAATAGCATTGTTTGCATATCTTTTTAAACACAAAAAATGATGTCTGGGTCGGATCGGGCCGCACTGGCGCGGAACTGGCCTCGGATCGGATCGACCGACGAGGCGGAGCGGCTCAACCCCGCGCGTGCGAGCATCGGGCCGCATCGGATCGTCGGATGATCGGAATCTGATCTGATCGGGCCAGCCGGGGATCAAAATCCCACCAGCCTTGTGGGCTGAGGTGGTCTAGCGAGTTCTTTCTTTCCTCTTCCAGAACCATTTTCCTTTCTGGGAGTTGTACCTTCCCCCCTCCCTGGGTTTTTTGAGGGGGCCGCGATCGGTCAGAGCCCAAACATGGCCCAAGATAGCTCCAAGAGGGCCTCCAAGATGTGTCAAGATATCCGACGATGGTTAAAGAAAGCTTCTGACATACCTCCACGAGGCCCGACGAGGGCCACAAGACGATTCCAAGCGCTCTCGGAGCCCCCATCAGCACCCCTCAAGAAGCCAAAACCCTTCACACATCCAAGGAACATCAATTATGTTTGCCTTCTCGCAGTTTCGTTTCCGATGCACGTTTGAGGCCTCAAGACGGCCCCAAGATGGCCCAAGAGAGGCCCAAGAGGGGCCCAAAAGGCCCCCCAGACGGCGTCAAGAGCGGCCCAAGAGCGCCCAAAGAGGGCCCGAAGAGGCGATTCCGACGCCCCTGGGGATAAGAACCGAAATGAAGGACCCCCCCCTTTGATCGATGGCCTCCAAGATGGCCCCGAGAGGCCCTTCAGGGCTCTCAAGGCGCCCCCAAGATGGCTCCAGAGGGCCCCATGAGGGCCTCAAGAGGCGGAGGAGGAGGAGGAGGAGGAGGAGGAGGGAGAAGGGGAGCAGTGAGCAATGAGCAATGCGCGGGGAGTTCAAATGAGTTGCTCGACTCACACCATGAAATCTGGCAAAGAACTCTGCGCAACCCGACTTAGTGGGATGCGGGTTATCACTTGGAAGAGACGGGGCAGCCCGCACTGGCTGGACCAGCACTGCCCCCGCTGGTGACGAACCCCCGTGACGCCACGCAGGCGCACTGGGAGGGGCCACCTAAGGGACCGACGGTTGGCTGGGTCCTCGGCCTTTGCTACTGCCTTTCCCCCTTCGCGGGGCCCGCTTGGGCGCAACCGCAAGGGGAATCATGGGAAGATCGGCCTGCTGATACGTGGCAAAAACGGGGGTCCGAAAGGGATCTGAAATCACTCCCCTGGCCACTAAGCTTGCCAAACGCACACTACCTGAAAAAGCGCCCTGTTGGGCTGTGAGGATCTTCTCGCATCCCCCCCCCCTCCTTCCGCGGCTCCTACTCCTACTCCTATCCTCCTCCCTCACAGGCCTCACGGGCCTCACTGGTCCACTCGGACCCAAAACCTCATTCATTTCTTCTCGATAAGACTCAGGATCCTCGCAGCTTCTCGCTCGAGGGGTCCTTTCGGGGCTGGGCCGACCAGCTGCTCCGCCCTCTTCTGGCCCTCCTCGTAGTTGAGCCACCAGAGGACCAGCTCACTCGCCAGCATGCCAGGCTCGTTGTAGCTGAAGGCGAAGGTCACGCGTCCTTTCTTCGTCTGCTGCTGCTGACTCGATGAGCCACTCGTCTCGGTCTTCCTCCCCTTGTGTTTCCTGTACCGAAAGTGCAGCACGTGATTGCCCACGGTGTGTGGGGCGGCGCCATGGATGTACTTCGTGAAGTACCCGTGGAACTTCTTGGTCTCCGCCTCGACGTACTCCTCCTTGCCTCCCTGGATGAACGGCTTCACGTTGGTGGCGAGGTTGAGGCAGACCGCGGCCCACAGCTGCACGTGCGGGGGCCCACGAGCGCGAAAGTCTACCTTTTCGCCTGCCCGTTGACGTTCTTTCATATGCCTGGACATCTCGTCGTACTTGACCCCCGAGTCGATCATGATCTGAGTGACCCCGTCGCCTGACTCGAGGAGCTCCCACGTCTGGTAGACTGCGCCCGCTAAGTTGGCGAGCTCCCGGAGGCGAGGCACAGCTTGGTGAGGAGGAGCACCAGGGCCTTGGTGAGGTCCTTCTCGTGCTTGTCGCCCTTGGCCCCGCCCTTGGCGTGCTTCGGCGGCTTTTCCTCCGAGCCTGGGCCCTCTTCCGCTCCCCTCTTCGTCTCCGACAGGGCCTGCATCCACTCGAGCGGCGTGAGCTCCGCCATGAGCCCCAGAGCGTTCCCGAATAAGGCGGGTCCGCGGGAGAACAGGGCCAGGCAAGTGGCTGCGTAGATGTTGGCATAGTGCGTCTAAGTCTGAAGTTTCTACATCACACTGAGGACACGATAGTGACGATGGAGGCTCAAGAGGGCGAAACGTTCTACTCCCACCGAATCGACAGTGTCCCCGTTGTACAGCAAGCACAAGATGCCGAGCAGCACATGCCCTGTCCCAGAAAATCTCCCTGCAGCATATACATGTGTTACTGGGGGTGAGCACGTGGCACAGGGAGCGCAGCGAGTGGCGGGACCTCATGTGCGCCATCAGGCCCTTACGCGTGGCGAACTTCCTCTTCACACCCCCCGAACTGGCAGCGATAACGTGTTTCGAGTTCGGGAAATTCGTGTGTCTCATGATCACGACCTCCCCCACCTTCCACCTCCACCTTCAGACCAGGGGGGGCGATAGTCACTCCAAAGAAACAACTCCGTATCATAGTGAAGCCGATGTTCAGAAGTTCGTGGCGCACCTCGGGGTCCCACATGAGGCCAGGACGATCTGCAAGAGCTCCCAGTACACCCTCAGAATCACGTATGAGCCCCTGTGCCCAGTAGAAGTCCTCAGAGACCCTGCGAGCCCAGGGGGAAGCCTTGGGGGTCAGGTATCCGTCGACGAGAGGCGCCTCCCCCAACTCGAAACGCACTTCCCCGAAGAGGACCGCGAACAGCTGGGTGTGACTGGTGGGGTGGGCAGCCCAAGACTTATACCAGTTAAGTCGACGAATGCCCAGCCCCACCGAGGTCTCACAAATACGCCAGTGTTTCAGCACGGCCTGATTGGACATTGTCCTGACTGCGCCAGTTGAAGTAGTCCATCTTGCACGCCCTCGCATGCAAACACGGGCAAAATGAGCGATAGTGGCATCCAGGCGGGCGCACTGCTGCTTCGTGAGCAAGAACGCCTCCATTCCACATAGAGCCGAATTCTACACAAGGGATAAGAAGATCGCCCGAGTAAATTTCCAAGCGAGGGATAACGTCCAGAAACCGCCCAAGGAGTAGAAGGCCGAGCGTGCAGCCTGATGTCGTCTGATCACCTCATGGCTCGAAGCCTGGGACATAGAGACGTGGGGCCCCAGGTACCGCACCTCCTCCTTCAGAACCCCAGAGATGAACCCGTCCAGGCCCACGAAGCCAGCGACGACAAGCCATGGCCCCCTCCCCTTCAAGCCAGACCGCCAGCTCTTGTTTCCCCCGATTCTGTTGGTACCCACATTCCTGGAGGTGAGAGTCTAGCAAATCGTCTGCCTCGCGCAACTTGGCGAGGAAGGAGCCCATGAGGTCGCCCTGAGCGATCAGGGTGTAGCGATAAAGGTCGTCCGCATACTTAAATAGGCTAAGATCAACTTCCTGGCCTTGCCACTCAGCGCGTAAAAGGTGCAAAGACGGGTCAGCGGCACAGAGCGATTCCGAGGAGGAGACACCCCAAAAGAGCCCCAAGAGGACCCCAAGTTCCCCGAGCAGAATCCCAAGAGGGCTCCACGAGGCGAGTTTGCGGGCTCTGTCATCGCCCTCGTTGTCCTCCTCCTCCTCCTCGTCCTCGCCCTCGTCCTCGTCCTTGCACCCATCGTCTTCCTCTCATTTTTCCTCCTCTTCCTCGTCGTCGTGGTCGTCGTCGTCGTATTTCGTCTCCTTCTCCTCATCCTCCTCCTCCTTCTCCTCCTCCCCCTCCTCCTCCTCATTCCCTCGCCCCCACGCGGGCTCCAGAGATGGCCCGAAGAGGCCCTCCAAGGCCACCCCCTTGCTCCCAAAAACCTCTCTGTTCACACTGGTTGCCCGCTTCGTTTCACTGCATGTGTCTCTTCGGCCATGTTCCCGTCATCTCTCATGGGCAGGGCTTGTGAATGGGCTGGTGGGGATGCGCGAAGCGTGAAGAATGGACCCTGCGGGGGAGCGGGGGGGAGGGGGGGGGTGCGGCTCTCTCCACAAGGTCGGGCGGCCGCAGGGGACGCAAGGGTACAGTCGACCCGTATCAGAAGGACGCGCGACAAGGATGCAAGGGCCTTGGAAGGCCACGTCGACACTTCGCGGGTGGGGCGCGGCCAACAAAAGTGGCCAAGGATGGACCGAGGAGGCAAGGATGCAAGGGCACCCATGAGAAGATTGCCCATCCTTACTATGCGGGTGGACTGTAAGAATTGCCCTAGCGGGGAAGTGGAGGGGAGCAGGGGCCGCAGGGGTAAGGCCCAGGCACTGAGAATTCTGGATTCGACCATATTGAAGGGGTCCTGGGACACAATCATGAACACACACAGAACCCAAGATTCCCCCTATTGTCCCACATTTTCGGGATGTTCGCCTTCCTCCCCGCCTCCCATATTTTCTCATATTTTCTGGGGATCGGCGATTAGCGTCTGTGTGCGTTTCCCCTCCTGACAGATGGCCCCCTCATTGCCCACCGGCCCCCGAGACAGCCTTCGGCGGTCTGCCGACGGTCTTCGGCCTCCTTCTGCGGTCTCCAGGCGGTCTCCAGGCGCCAAAGGCCGGATGACTGTGCTCAACGTGGGGTCCATGATCGAACGTCAGCGCCCCTCTAACGGGGACTCCACTAAGGGGCACTTTGGCCAGTGGCCCGGCGAACCCAACCCTCCCCGATGCATGCCAGAAAGGGGCCCTAAAATGGTAACTTTCGGCAATTTTCCAAAGTACCCGTTAAATACCCGTTACGGTGCCGCTGAGAACGCCCGAGACACTACACCGGACACTGCGCCTGTTCGACCCGCGATGGCAAGGATGCACGGTAAGGATGCAAGCCCATCGTACACGCCCGTGTCGAGGCTCCTCGAAGTGGGGTTGGCCCTCGAACGTGGTCTCCCTCGGGAAGGTTTCCCATCCTTACAGTACGAGCTCGACCACAAGAAACCGTCCACAAGAAACCCAACCGTGAGACCCCAGGGCGTCCACCGTTTTTCGGTGTGGGAACGCCACGCTTTCCACAGCAAAAACGCCGACACCCAAGAAACCCAGGGCACCCTGGAGGCAAGCAGGGTGTTTCTTGGCATGGGTCTCCACTGTAGGCTCAGGTCGGCGGCGAACGAGGGGGGAAGTGATCAGGAGGTAGAGAAGGTGCGTTGCAGAAAGGGGTGTGATGCCAAGCCTGGGAATGGCAGTGTTATCCACGATAGATAGCATTGCCAGATGCAGCAGTGGCACCACATCCCTTTGCACCACACACCTTTCCCTACCTCCAGAAGTGAGAAGTGAGAAGGCGGCGGGGCTTCCCACCCAGAAGCCTCTGGCCTCTCGACAGCGTTTCTGCATCTTCGGGGCAAGCTTAGAAAACGTCCCAGAAGGCTGGGGGACTTCCGAGCCTACTTGGAAGGTCCGCCCCTCCTCTGTTTCCCCTGGGCTCGCCGACAGGGGCCCCCCAGGCCCAGCCCACCCAGGAACGCGCAGATTCGACATCAACGGCCCACTGCCGATCTGCGGGCGATGTACCGCCGATTCCGGGTCGATGCCCCCCCCCCTCTGATCCCACGCCAGCTGCGGGCGTGGCGAAGAGGGGGAGGGGAAGGAGTCGGGTCGGGTCGGTGCTCTTCGGCAGTCCAAGGTCACTTGGCCGAGGCTCGAGGGGAAGGGCACTCCTCCTGGACGGCAGACATCGGCTAGCAATGAAGGAGCAAGGATCATATCGAAAAGAGCGCAGCCCACACACACACACACACACCACAAGGGGGCGGGAGAGTCCTCCAAGGGGACAATCCTTGACGCGGGAGCCTCCCGACAAACGCCGAAGCCCCGTCGGCACATGTTGGGCGGCACCGCGCGGCAAAAACATGGCTGCAGAACCTGGATTCAAGCGGCCAGGCGGCCGTAGAGGGCAGCGCACCCCTGCGAGAGGGAAGAATAACTGAAGGCTCGAGGATTCGGTCGGGCACGTCCTCCTACAGGCGGATATCGGAAGAAACATTGAAACACGATAACTTTCTTTCGAGTAACAAACCTGAATATTGTTGGTTATATGCTTGACTATTCCTCCTGTAGAAGGACATGCCCAACTTGAATCGAAGATCGAGGGGGGCGGCGGCGGCGGAGTGGCAGATCGCGACGTGGGCGCGTCGGACGCGCGCTGCCGAGGCTGGCGCCTCGGCCGGGGAGGGCGCGCGCGCCCTCGCCGCGGGCGCCGCCGACGGCGCCGCGGACGAAGGCTTGGCCTTCGAGGGGGCTGGGGCGGTGGAGGGGGGAAGAGGAGGGGAACTTCCTCCCTCCTCCTCCTCCTCCACCTCCTCCTCCTCCTCCTCCTCCCTCCTCCTTCTCTCTCCTCTTCATATTCCTCTTCCTCTTCCTTCCTCCTCCCTCCTCCTCCTCCTCCTCATCCTCCTCCTCCTCCTCCTCCCTCCTCCTCCTCCTCCTCCTCCTCCTCCTCATCCTCCTCTTCCTCTCCCTCCTCCTCCTCCTCCTCCTCCTCCATCGTACTCGTCCTCGCCCTCCTCCCGCATCCTGCCTCTGCATCCTGCCTCCTCCTCATCCTAGTCCTCCTCCTCCTCCTCCTCCTCCTCCTCATCCTGCTCCTCCTCCTTCTCCTCCTCTTACTCCCCCCCCATCCGCCTCCTCCTTCTTCCTCCTCGTCCCTCTCCTGCAAAACCTCGGGAAGATAGGCACGGGAACGATAATGATGCTTTCTCACACCGATACGCTCAACACGAACGTGAGGGACCCATCAATTGATCCAAACAGCGCCGATCGCGACTCAAGTTCGATAAAAACAATAATTGCGTTGTGGTGCCAAGTCGCCGTCGTAATAATTGCCCCCCCCCCGTCGGCTTGTCCTGGCCGCACCAGGAACGGGAAAAATATTGTAACCGAAAAAATGGCCTGGGCAAATGAAACATCAACGTCATCCAAATGGGTAACGGTCAAACTCCGCTGTCAAGTTCCGCTAAAGGTCAAATTACGCTGTCGGTCCCAAAGAGCCGAACTGACAAGTTCTGCTTAATGGTATGTAC